AACTCTGATTCCCTTACTCAGAGAGCATGGATAAAAACTATGGTCATTCTCAAAACATGAGAATTGGCAAAGATATTTGTCTTGCAGACTGTGCAACTATGCATACAATCATTCGAGATTGAAAGTATTTCTCAAGATTGATGCTTACAAAAGAAAGGTTAACAACAATATTAGGACCTTCAGATGTAATTGAAGGCTCAGGGAAAACCCATATTATGTTTCCAAATGTATTTCTCAAGATTGATGCTTACAAAAGAAAGGTTAACAACAATATTAGGACCTTCAGATGTAATTGAAGGCTCAGGGAAAACCCATATTATGTTTCCAAATGGAACAATATTGTCCATATAGAATGCATTGTACGCTACTCGATCTACTCGAAATTTGTTGAGTTTCAAAGACGTACGTTTAAATGGATACCCCATCATTTTTGCAAAGAATTCAAGGTGATATTTGTGGACATATTCAGCCATCCTATGGACCATTTCGATATTTTATGATTTTGGTTGATGCATCTACCAGATGGTCACATGTTTGTCTCTTATCTACTTGAAATGTAGCTTATGCGAGACTTCTTGCTCAGATAATTAAGTTACGAGCATAGTTCCCAGATTATCCCATTAAGTCAATCCGACTTGATAATGCTGGTGAATTTACGTCTCAAACCTTTGATGATTATTGCATGACATTGGGCATTGATGTTGAACACCCTGTTCCTCATGTCCACACTCAAAATGGTCTAGCAGAAGAATTGATCAAGCGGCTGCAGTTAATAGCCCGCACTATGCTCATGAAAACAAAATTGCCAGTTTCTGCATGGGGATATGCCATCTTACATGCTGCATCATTGATTCGATTGAGACCTATAGCCAACCACCAATACTTCTCAGTATAACTTGTGTTTGGACATCAGCCAAACATTTCACATTTACAAGTTTTTAGTTGTGCTGTTTATGTGCCTATTGCACCCCCGCAACACACTAAAATGGGACCTCAGCGTAGACTGAGAATTTATGTGGGTTTTGATTCACCATCTATCATAAGATATTTGGAACCCTTGACAGGTGATATGTTTACAACTCGTTTTATTGATTGTCACTTTGATGAGACAGTCTTCTCGTCATTAGGGGGAGAAAAGACCGTTCCAGAAGAACGGAAAGAACTGACATGGGTTGTTCCCATATTGTCTCGTTTTGATCCACATAGCACTCAATTTGAAAATGAAGTGAAAATGATTGTTCATCTTCAAAGCATTACTAATCAAATGCCAGATGCATTTAATGATGCTATGAAAGTGACAAAATCACATATACCAGCTGCAAATGCACCTGTAAGGATTGATGTCCTTGTTGGACAAAATAAAGTGGCAGCGACTGATTCATCTGGTGCATGCCTGAAGCATGGTAGACCCTCGGGTTCAAAAGATTCAGCCCCTCGAAAGAAAAAGACAAGGGCACAACTGAATCCAAATGAAATCATTCAGGAAGAGAGAATGAATGACAAATCTACAATTCATGATTTTGGACTTCCGGAAAAAGAAAATGTCCTTGATGAGACACATGTCCCTGAAGAGACAGCAGTACATGAGAGCAAAGAAATCTCTATAAATTATGCATGTACTAATGAATTGTGGGATCAAAATGAAATAATCATCGACGATATGTTCGCATTTGCAGTAGCCACTGAAATCATATTAAGTGATGATATTGAGCCCCGCTCTGTTGATAAATGTAAACAGAGACAAGATTGGCCTAAGTGGAAATATGTAATCCAGGCAGAATTAAATTCCTTGGAAAAGCGAAATGTTTTTGGACCAGTAGTCCAAACCCTGCCTGGTGTAAACCCCATGGGTTACAAATGGGTATTCACAAGGAAAAGCAATGAGAAAAACGAGATTGCAAGATATAAAGCACGACTCATTGCACAAGGTTTTTCGCAAAGACCTGGAATTGATTATGAGGAGACATACTCTCTTGTAATGGACGCAATTATGTTCCGTTACTTAATAAGTTTAGTGGTTTCAGAAAAACTTGACATTCGACTTATAGATGTTATCACCGCATATCTATATGGAGAATTAGATATTGACATATATATGAAAGTCCCAGAAGGACTTAAGTCGCCCGAAACAACTAACATATCACGAAGTATGCTCTCGATCAAATTAAGGTGATCATTGTATGGGCTGAAACAATCTAAACGAATGTGGTATAATCGTCTCAGTGAGTATTTGATCAAAGAAGGATATATCAACAATGTCATTTGCCCTTGTGTGTTCATTAAGAAATCCAACTCTGGATTTGCTATAGTGGCAGTATATGTCGATGATATGAACCTAGTTGGAACCCCTGAAGAGCTTAATAAAACTGCTGAATATCTGAAAAGCGAATTTGAAATGAAGACCTTGGAAAAACGAAATTTTGTCTCGGCCTGCAGATCGAGCATTATGTTAGTGGAATTTTGGTTCACCAATCAGCTTACATTGAAAAACATCCTGAAGCGATTTGGTATGGACAAGGCTTATCCACTCAGCACGCTAATGGTCGTTCGTTCTCTGGACATTAAGAAAGATCCATTCCATCCAAAATAAGATGATGAACTGGTCCTTGGTCCATAAGTACCATATCTGAGTGCAATAAGTGCTTTATTGTATTTAGCATAATGTATTAGACCAGATATAGTTTTTTTAGTCAACTTGTTAGTAAGGTATAGCTCTGCTCCAACAATTCGTCATTGGAAGGGTGTCAAAGATGTATTGCGATACCTTCATGGGACAACAAACATGGGTCTCTTGTACTCAAAGAACTCCACAAATGACTAGGTCCTTGTTGGATATGCAGATGCTGGTTTTCTCTTTGATCCGCATAAAGCCCGTTCACAAACTGGATATGTGTTCAAGAATGGAGATACAACAATCTCATGGCGCTCAACAAAGCAAACATTAGTTGCTACATCTTCCAATCACTTAGAAATACTTGCTTTACATGAAGCAAGTCGTGAATGTTCTTGGTTAAGATCAATGATCCATCATATTTGGAATTAATGTGGTCTAACTTCAAAGACAGACAATCCAACTGTCATTCATGAAGATAATGCAGCATGTGTTGCCCAAATGAAGGAAGGATTCATTAAGGGCGATAAAACTAAAAACTAAACACATATCTCCAAAGTTTTTTAGTGCACGTGAGCTTCAGAAGGCTAAAGTTATTGAAGTAAGACAAATCTGTTCTAATGAAAATATGGCAGATTTGTTCACCAAATCTCTATCAAAATACACGTTTCAGAAGTTAGTGCAAAGTATCGGATTACGTCGACTTACCAAACAACTAAATTTGGAGAATGCAGAATCAGGGAGAGATATATATCAGGGGGAGCATCCATGATACATGCATGTTGTACTTTTTTTCCTTCAATTAGGATTTTTGCCACTGGGTTTTTCCTATTAAGGTTTTAACGAGGCAACATAAGCATACTTAACACTATATCAACAATCCCAGTAAAGTTGTACTTTTTTTCCTTCGCTATGGTTTTTTCCAATTGGGTTTTTCCAAGCAAGGTTTTAACGAGGCAACTAATGTTGGTATGTGGGCATCCAAGGGGAAGTGTAGAAAACGTTGGTATTGTTATGAATGCCCACACACACACACATTTTGAATGCCCATACAAATTGAAATTGACTTTGGGGATGCAGGAGATCATATTTTTCAAAGGGGTGCTGTAAATTTTCAATGTATAATTAATGCATCAGTATTGGAGTTGCTCTATAAATAGAGCACTCTGTATACTTTCAATATATATACAAACAGAAAGAAAGAAAGATCAATAACATCATCTATTCCTCCGCCTTTTATTTGTTATCCTCTTGTGCTATAGTTTTAGTGTGACATTTTACACCTACTTTGCTACATTCACTAAAACGGTTATCTCTCTAACTTTTACATATTTATAACATAGTTATGAATATCATTTGATCCATATCCATTATCCACTAGCTACCCCAGGTTGCTTTGCTTAGTAATTAATAGACCGAAAGAAGGGGAAATTGCAAATTTGCAACGCAACCTTGTCCATTGCGTCTCGAGGTGGAAAACAATTTATATGGTATGCGTACATCATAAGTAACGTTTTATGACAAAAGTTTACACATATTTTTAGGAATTGTTATTAGCACTTTAAATATTTTATATGTAGAAAAAAAAATATTCAATTACGAGGAGTGGACGATAAAATTTTTAGAATACCAATAACAATTTCTTTATTTTATTTTATTGACATAACTGGAAATCGTATAAATTCTTTATTTTTTTAAATTGACACATTTAAGAATGAAAAGATGAACCCAATATCAAATCAAGGGTATTCATTTTTTGTTATAATTTTAACTTGAAATTAGAGTGTGGGTCCTTTGATTCAACTAAGTTTCTTGTTAAGCTCATTAGCACTAACTTTACAATAACGAATAGAACACTACTTCGCTAATAGAAAAGCAGCAACTGTTGTTGAACTCCAACTATAGATGTATACATGTCTAACCGGTGTTCCAATTTCAATTATTTGGATGCATGTCTATATGTGATTGGGTTTCAACAGCTGTTTCTATTCTTCAACAGTGAAGTAGTATTTTAAGGAACATCCATAAAATGATGTGTTGGGAATTGGGATGTGGCAAAATGGAGGAAAGTTACAAGAACCCACATTCGATTCTTCTCTCATCAAAGACTACAATAAACCATGTGTTATGTCTACTCTCTAGGGTTATAATAGTCAAATCAAAATTAAATAATTGAAGGATGAAGAATTAAATTAATCCAAAAAGTGTTGTTGCCAATGTTCTGTTGAAACTCTTTCTAGATAGAGTAAGCTCGCTAATGATATTTGAATTAAACTAACCATAACTGCGAGAAGGGGGATTGAAGGTCGGATGCATAGTGAGAGCACATCCGCTCTAATTTCTTTTCCGGCTACTTATATTAGTTGCTGCTTCTTTTTTTCAAGCAAAAAAGAAAAGTGTGATGAGTTTTGTAGACAATTAATTCCTCTGATGTATTACTTGTACGGTTCTACCCAACAGCTGCGGTTACTTTCGGGTCAGGCAAATGGCAGTTGCTACTTTGTTGGAATCCGGAATCCGGAATCCGGCATTCAGATGCCGGATGAAACTCTATCCTTCGAGACTGAAAATGTTGACTGTTCTGTGCTACCGTAAGCCGGAATCTTAGAATCAGAAGATAGGCTGCGTTTTAGGATTGCTTTGACCAACAAAACGGAGCTGCGTTGATATGATTTTTACCGCCTTGAAGGTTCCCCTACTTCAACTGTCACGAGCATTTCTGGGATTGACCTAGTAAATCCATCCACAACATCTTCAGGACGTCGTCCAACAGTCGCAGCATACCGTGAGAAGATTGTGTCACCGGGTGGCCGGCCACAATCAGGAGAGGAGTGCATGGGAGCAAGCGGGACAGCCAAATTACACCCCTTCTTTTAGGGAGAAAATTAACCTGCAAGTCTGAATTAATCTTAGCTGTTGAAACTATTTAACCTTCTAAACTAAATTAATCCCAAAGACTTGCAAAAGAGAGACGAGAAGTAAACACCGATGATACAGAAAAGTGAAAAACCAAAGGGTCATTGGTGAATTAGCAACGGAAGACTATTGAAAAGGATGTTGAATGTTATACAAAATGCGTATACGAAAGAAGAACAGCCCTGCAGCCGATCATTTCATTGTTGTACAGCAAAGTACAAGGGCGCACCTAAAACTTCAAAAACATGAACGAGAATATGACCGGACAAAAGATGCTCCAATCAATCTCCTATTCGACAAGTGAAAGTAAGGCGGAAGGTGAAATCCATATTTACAAGCTCCAGTAAGACACATGATTCCTCTATTTTGCTACGTCGAAAAATCAGTTGTATGACAGTTTTCTTTGTCAAAAAGGTTTGACATCGAATTGCCTAGCGAGTGTATCTCAACCGAGCGGCTTTTCTGTATGGATCGACGTCTGGCCCCCCATTTCTCGTGCTGGTTCGACTCCAGCTCGTGACAAGGCCCTTTTGGTCATATACCTTGGTCTTGCTTGTTATTGTTATATTCAGTTCCTTTTGACCTAGGAGTTGTTCCCGGGCATCCCCCCAAAAAAGGTTATTATACATCCCAACCCCATCCCTTGGATAAGTAGAAGCTAACATCAGGCTATTGGCGTTTTATCTGCATCTTCCCGACCAAGACGGATTTTTCGGGATTTATCTTTCTTAGAATTGGAAGAAAAAGATTGAAATGACTGTTCAAAATTTCACCTTTACCCTTGAGAATCTTTTGATCGTCTGATGGCATCCTTCGGTGATTTATGCGTATCTGAACTCAAGTAAAGGAGATGGGAAGTATGCACTCACTAGCGGAAATGACAACCTGCATGGGGCATCCTTACACCTTCGGGTCTTCAACAACATTAACAGGTTGCATAGACTTTGCTATTATCACCAATTTCAACAACTGGCTAAGATATTTTCTTCCATCAGTCTTTAAGTCAAACCAACCTCTTGTATAAATCACATTTACGTCTATTCTCCTCCGGTACAGCAGGTCCACTCAATATTTGTTTAATGCATTTGAATACGTGCCTTCCATCTGCAGCAAATGAAGGTGAAAATATTCGTTAACATACAGCTAAATTGTGAAACTAATATGATGAGTAGGTAAAACCATCAATTAAAGACAACATAGTGTAATACAGGCAAAACTTTAGTGAAAACTATGACAAGCATGCGGAATTAACTGATCATAATTCACCTCGTAGGCGAGGTTCTAGCAGTATATGGAAGGCAATCAACAAATCAGCAACTGAATGACAATTTCAATAGAAGTTGTTGAATTCGGTCAAATCTATCTTAGTTCCTAGCAGACCATACAGAAACATACTCAGCTACAACTTCTCAATCAAAATGTTCTTTAATCTAAATCTTCAACAAAACAATCCACCAGAGCAGGTGGACTGGGTCTGTCTATATTCAGAAAGCAATTTCTTTCACTTCCAATGATGATCAGACTGTTGGGCAATAACCATCTGAAGATTTCCTCATTTGAGAATAAAGACTATGCTCATGTGGCTACGTTTAGGAAAAAAAAACTATCAAAGTTTTTCCTATTAGATGTCAGCTACAAGCTCCAAGACCAATCATTATTGCCGTATAGACTATTGCTTTTCATCATGAAATTCTGTAGCTAGCAGCCGTATCTCCAGAGGACTTGTGCCATTGTCTGATAACTTCAGAAACATCAACTCCTACAGTTACAAGAGAACAATTTAGACTGTCTAATGGAGTAACAAAAGAACGGCCCTATACTTATCCAATCAAGATAGATCCCATCTCCAGACTCGAACTGAAATTTTCATTATAAGAGGTGGACCCATAGGCTGCTCTAGTCGACAAAGAAAAATACCCCATTTCCCTTCTGACCAGATCTCACTCTTATCATCCTTTATAAGAATCTATATCTGATAAGTGGTAACAAGTCCATTCAAGAGAGTAGAAGCACGATCTCACCTCACCTCATTCTTTATTTGTTTCATCAGCTTTTCCAACGCAAGTTCTTCCAGAAAATCAAACTGAGACATTAACGTGACCGGCCAAAGGTATTCTCTAAAAGAGGCAACCAACTAGAGATGTCTTTCTATAGATAGTCTGAAACTCATATCCTATAAGCCTTAATAAAGCAAGATAGGGAACAACAGTCTGCATTACAATGAAATAATAATTCACTAGAAAGTTAACGGTACATTAGTTGAAGGTAGTTATAAAATCTAGAAGAAAGAAACTATTAGTTTTAAATAAAAGCAATATAACCAGTAGTCAAGGATATAAAAGCGGCAACATACAAGCACAGAAAATCAAATACTATGTCCAGCTAGGGAAGAAGATGGAAGACTCCATACCCATGAAACCCATAAAAATAAGAAGAATACTTGCCTCTCAGTTCCAATGGCAGGCCACCATCCTTTCTTGAGATAGTCCAGCATCATCTCATCGCGTGGAGCAACTTGCCATATTGTAGGGGTGGCTAGAAATATCTTGATGGAAGTTGCAGATTCACAGCTCAAAATCAGGAACAAGAAACTTTGCAACAAGACATGACAAAGTAGCAAGATTACTGACCAAGCTCCTGAATTTTTACACTATGCTCAACAGATACAAGAATACTACTAGTCCATGAATCTCCATCTACTTTTAACTGAATATAACCTATTTATCTCCACTCTGCCACCCACATCCACCGTAACTAATCCACATATTGGAAAGAAGAAAACACTGTACAACTCTGTTTCAATAACCAAGTTCAAAATAGGAATATAAAGCTCCAACATCCAGCCCTTTTATTTGGACAAAGTTCCACCTCTATATAAAACATGTCCTCAGGCTAAAAATAACAACTCCCAATTATCCTACTCAACCATACCCCTTACACTGGAGTAAAGTTAACTACTGGAAAAATCTAACTTGGCTATTTAGAGCATAAGGAAGAGCACTAAAGAGTGGTCTACAGTACCTTCACAATATAAAGCACTTCAACCAAGCCCCAGAAAACTTGAAACTATACAAACAACCCTTTGGTACACTCTCCATCATAACAGGGGTCCCATGCACCACAGATAAATATTGAGAACAATACACCAGATACCAGCTGTGCTGCAGAACTACCGCAACGAGGGCCTAAGCTGACCACATTTCCAAAATCCATTATTCCAATACCAGCCAAAAGCAATGGGTACTACCAGGAACTTCTCAATAGTGCATAACAGAAAAATCTAGTGCTTATCCAAAGGCCACTAATCCAGAGCAGTCACATAATGATGCTGTGACAGAGCTGCAGATACTAACCTGGGAAATAATCCATATGGAATCCTGGGGTCCTAGTCAAAATATAACCTACAAATGGAAAAGCCTGACACTTACTTCCAGAGAATTGCAACTTCTTAGGCCGTAACTACCCACCTAAGAGAGATCACGAGTCCTATTCAATTGATGCATATGTAATAGCATGTCCACCTCCAACACCCTGATAAATTGATGCATAAGTGATAGCATGGCCACCTCCAACACCAAAACCAGCAACAAGGAATTTCCAAGAAATAAACCCACATCCCCAGAAAACTGAACACCGTACATGTTCTGTTCATCAATTACGAATCGACACAACTCGAATCCAACAATTGCATCATCTACAGAAAACAGGTTGCATTACATTCATGCAATACAATGATCACATAGCTTCCCTTCAATTGCATATCAGACATGCTCCAGCCTCCACACAAGTTCATAAAAGAAAACACTAAACTATAGCACCATTCTAAAGTTTGATTCTACCAACCAGGAAGAGAAAGGAAGAAATATAATCAAGAGAACATTGCTAGATAGAAAACAATCCTTTTTATAAGTTACATGGTCAAATGACCAATATAAGATATAACTGATGCAAATTAGGACAGGAAATTGCAAACATTATACTACAATCACAGACATGGTAATTAACGTCTAGTAATCAAGCAAAGAGATAATAAAACCCTATATACATCAGTTTAAGATGACTAACAATGTATTGAGAAAAATAAGTGGCTACTGATCTGCCGTGCACGCATAGATGCTAAAGCTTCTTGACCACTTAGGCTCAGATGACGAGCAACCAAAGGTGGCATGTATAACTCTGTCATTGAAACAATAATCACCCAGATGTCAGCGACGAGTCATGCGAGGCTTTTCAGAACCTCCCCATGAAGCTGGACCCAGGCCATACATAGGCCCTTTGTCAGCAGCACCCTAACACATAAGCATAGAGACAATTTAAGAGAAAAGTGTAAACCTAAAAGCTACACCATTAGACCATTTCTGAGAAAAGATACCAAGGCGAAAAGCAGCTGATTACGAAAAAAATAGAATTGGAATTCCAATCATACAAGCAAGCATACCATGTGCATCGCATATCCATCTCCATATGCAGCAGGAAAAGCCCCTTCTGGGCTGGTGAAATTCATACCATATTGTCCACCTTCAAAGAAAGAAAAGGATGAGATATGAATTATGAGACTGAAAGCAAGATGTCACACCACAATCCCAAGTGCATAAGAAGCTCTTTTTTTTGCTCCACGACATGACCGTTGGGAAAACAAATTCAAATATCGCCCATGCAAAGAAATAAAAATAGTTAATTTCTGTAATAGTTTCTAAGAAATACAAGATCTCAACCCAACTCCCAAAAGTGGTTGTGGAAGATGAAATTCATTCCTCTATTCAACACCAGGCAGAGCTCAACGAATCAATAAACATGAAATTAAGTATTTCCACCAAAAAGAGGAATATCAGAGCAGAATGTGATGCAAAATTTATATGTTGGTAACTTGGTAAGCAAAATATAATTGTTTCACCACTGTGTGAGTTTGTCTTCAAGTGTTGTGTGTTTCTTTGCAGCTGTGCGCCTGAATGTGTAGTGTAGTGTCTCGTGCGTGAGAGAGAGAGAGAAAGAGGGGTTTACCATTCTAATACATGTTTTCAGAAGCCAATTTTACCATATAAGTGAAGGTTCAAGAAATGTACCATATGCAGGAAATAAATACCTCTAGAATACGGTAAGATAAATAAGTAATACCTGTACCCCATGGTCTACCATCAGCCCTAGAAAGTTCTGCCCGTAGTTTCTCAACTTCACGTGCCATAGAAACTAGGTTCTTCTCCATTGCCTGTCTTTGCTCCATAAGCTCAATATTTGCCTTCTTTTCATAATCAACCGCATTTCTACAAAACAAAACTTCTAAGTTAATAATTTTATATACAATCTAGTACACTCTCGATAAGATATGTACACTGAAAAGGAGCTCTAGGACAAGAAAATGAAAACAAATACAAGAGAAGCAGGTCCACACCGACAAAACATAAGCTCCTGATGCAGACCATCAATCTCAGTCCTCAGCATAGGAATCTGCTTATTGTCAGACTGCAACCTCGCAAGGTCCTGCGTGAGGGTCTGAACTTGTGTGGCAAGCTCCTTCCTAACAGTATTCAGCTTCTGAACTTCAGAGCGAAGTTGCTTAGCCTCATTTTTCAAGGGCTCAGTTGCCTGTAGATCAGCCTCCAATTTCCTACTTTTCTCATAGAGCTCCCTTGATTTCATTTCTTCTTCGGCACGAATATCTGAAAAGGCAACATTCATCCGATGAATTTCTTCCTTGGCAGCACCAAGCTCATGCTGCAACACCATCCGGTCCTCAACCAGCCTCCGGTTATCAGCCAAGAGTCTCCGAATTTCCGCATGTTGCATTTCAAGCTCTTCCTCCAACATTGCAGGATGGGGAAGAGACCGCATAGGAGGACCTCGGCCATAAGGTCCTTCAATAGGATAACCACGCCGGTCATTCATCGCTTCACGTGGAACACGATGTCTCCCTGCCATTGTAAGTTATCCTGAAAACCCACAAATTTGTAGGAAATATCACCCCTAAAGAAGGGGGGAAAGATAATGAACATGTCAGTGACTGCTAAATCATTCTCCAAACTAACATTCTCCGTATAACTCAGGAAATCTTTTTTCTGAAGGCGGTGCAAATTATTTTAATTTTTTCAAATTAAAAATTAAACAGTATAGCATTGCACAAGCTGAAATTTAATCAATTACACAATTTGACAGTCAATGTGTGAAGCATATACAAAAAATAAATTTTATCCAAATAATTAATCCACTCATATCTGATTAATCCATCCTTATAGGTTAGTTTGGATTCCGAGAAACTGAAGGAAATTAAACACAAGTATTTTCTGAAATTCCAAATTTCTCATCACTTCAAACAATATGCATATATAATCCAATAAAAAAACCTACTTTTCTCAGGTCATCAGACAGTAATTAATCACAGTTTCAATTCAATTAATACACAATTAAAAATAATAGAGACCCAAATTTCAATTTATTTTATACTTTATCGAATTAAAAAACGATAACCAAAATGTTATTAAACAAACTGGAATCCGAACCTGTTGTTCGATCGAATTTCTGAACGAATGAGAGAGGTCCTGGCTCCTGAGGTGTTCTTTTCTGGGCGGAAAATCCAGAGCGACCAATTTCTCAATTTTGTTTTTGCGTATCAGGCTATCGAATGCTGCTCCGAGCGAGTCGTTTTCTAGCAGGCTCCAATCCTATTGGGCCCTCAGATTGTAGAAACTGTGGGCTCCATATCTTCGAAAACCTCATACGAATTAATATGGGCTTTTTATGGCCCAATATAGAAATTTGGAAGCTAATGAAGAGCGTTTCTAAGCTGCAGACGAAGCGTGCGGACCATCTGTGCAGACAAAGATCTAACGGCTAAGAATGGACGCGCTCACGTGTAGAACCGGGTTGTTGTGAACCGATGGATTTAGAAAAATTTCAACATTTTTATTTAATTGGTATCTTTTGTCTGATGGACGAAAACAGGAGTAAGTGGGAAAGAGGGGTTGGGTGTTGCGTGCGTTGAAGAGGGAAAGAGAGGGGATGATAGATGGAGAGAGGGAGCAGGAGTTTGTAATGGATTTAAGGTGGATTGAAGCTAGGTTGCAGCTGCGACTCGGTAATCCAATAACTTTAATTTTGTTTTTGTTCAGTTTAGGGTTTAGGCATGGGAGGGGCAGTTTATGATTGTCTTTGCCGGGTGTGTTTTCATAAACATTCACCAGCTTTCATAACACAGAATGGTTGGTTGGTAGAACTGTGACAACTTCTTAAGAAAAGTTCATGATTCATAAACGTTCACAAACTTTCATGACACATAGATGATGGTCTCATATAACAAACCTTGGTCTCATATAACAAACCTTCATTACTACAAGGTTCGTTGAGCAATTGTGACACCACAATAAAACATAAGGGATTGTTTCAGATATTGTCCCAAACAATGTTTCAATATATAAAAGTGCGAGGGATGTCACTTAAGAAGCAATAATATAGAGAAATTAGTTACAAACATCCATAATGAACCAGTTGCCGAACAAATTCAATTCATCTGAACAAACTACAAACTATCTCAAGAAATAAAAAAAAAAATATCCAACACTAAATACAAACAATGTAATACTTATTTATGGACTACCATTGTTCTTCAATGGTAAATGTACAAAAAATTGATTGTGAACCATAAGTTTGAATCATGCACCAAGCACTACACATTGTGAAGGCCATGCAACATGTCGATCGCCATCCTCATTCGGTATTCAGGGACGTTGGCGGCCGTAATTCTATCCAAAGGAAGGCTACATGACAAGAACTCAATCACTTTTAAAATTGAAAATACCGCAATCCCCCTTGTTGCACACAACAATTTAACAAGTTTGAAAACCAATTCACAAACAATCCAATTTAAACTTACTAACAATGTAATTAAATTTTAACTCACTCGTTGGCTTGCTGTGGGGACTTTGGACTTGCAACGATAGGCTAAGGTCCATTCTTTACCTCCTTCGACATGCTTTGGAGGACATCCGGCAACACGGAAGTGAGCAGAGCCAATTTGGTAGTTGCTTTACGTGTGTTGGTTTTAGACGTCAATGAGTCGTACACCATTATTCTCCCAGCTATAAGATTCATCTCAATAGCAACCCAATGGTGATCAGGGTTGAGGAGGCATGTACGCCTTCTTAACATCTACCAACCATGATGTAGAAAATGACTCCCCTTCCCCCTTGACCGTCTTTAACAGCATCGGTAAGAATTCTTTGGCCGCATCGGCTTTGCTACCTCTAGTTGTTCTTTTAGTTGTCATCGCATTGTAGGAGCACTCACAGCACTTAAAACATTAAAAAACACACCCAACATAAGAATTTCCAAACTTTAGAATATTAGCAGAAATTTGGTTGGATACTTTTCTAGAAACCAGTCGATTATGTTCGTGGTCAACACTCTCCCTACTCGGCATGCTTCCTCAGGAGATATAATTGTAAATGAATGTGCTGCAATACACAAATTGTAATTAAACTATGACACCTACGTTGAAAATTCCAAACCAAATCGAAAAAAATCCTGAATCCATACCCAAAAAGTCCTGAAAAATTTTGGTACCCAATCCTGAAATTTTGGTATGGGAATTGGTCTCACATTTTCATTCGTTCGGTAATCCCAAACTGAACTGAAAATATATATATATATATATATATATATATATATATATATTATTTAAATATATATATGGAATTGTAATAGCTGTCAGATTTGGTTGAGATTTAATCTTAACCATTGAATCCAAATAAAATCTTCACTCTCCCTCGACCTTACCTCACCCTGCTCTCTTTATCTCTCATCCTTCGTCGATTTCTCTCGCTCCTTCTCCTCCTTATTTGTGATAGGAGCATATTTATGCACCTTAGTTAGCTAGTTCTTATGCATTTTTACTATGTTTTCTAAGTTAAAGTAGTCTTTTAAGCTAGTTTCATGTGTTTTCAGGTTTTAAGGGCATATTACACAAAAAGATGCGTTTTGGAGCTTTTTGAAGCAAAATGAAGCTTGGATTGAATGGCACATGTTTGAAACAAAAGAAATGGACGAAATTGAAGATCAAAGGAGGCTAGGAATGAATAATGAATGAAGAAATGAAAATGAAGAACAAAGAGTTCAGAATTGGAAACCAAAGTTTCTAAAGTTGGAAGTTGCTATTCTTGGAGGTTTCCATTCTTGAAAGTTTCTATTCTTGGATTGGAAGTTTCCTAATCCTCTCTCACCTATGTTCTAAGCCCAAGCCGTGCCTTTCCTAAGCCAATTACATGTGGATTTTGATTTGGCTAGCCTTATTCCTTGTGGATTTGGGTTATACAAATCCTTTTCATAAACAAAGTGGGCCAAAACCCTTTCCTTGGTGGATTAAACCCTTTTGCCGCAAACCCTAGGGCTTAAGCCTTTTATTTCTGCTAAGTTAAACCCTAATTTATCTCCCCTAGGGTTTGTGCCGCACCTAATGTTCTAGAAGCCTAAAAATCTGCATAAAACCCTAGTTATTTTCTCCTTTGGATGGGCCAAGCCTTTTATCTCCAAAACCCTAACCCTTTCCCATCAGATTTTGTGAAAACCCTAGCCTATAAATACAAGTTTTCAGCCATAAATTCGTCACCACCCTTCACACCTTTCAAAAACACCTTGCCGCAACCCTAATCACCGTTCTACATCACGAAACACCATCCTCCATCCATATACATCTCTGCCGCACCTTTTGGAGAAGAAGGAGAGCCTTGTCGTGCATTCCATTGATGAAGGAGGGCCTTGTGCGCAAGCCATCTGCATCCTTGGGAGTTTTAAGAGTTCTTTCTTTCCTCGTTTCAGTTTCGATGTTTATTCTAATTTGCTTTTCAATTGCTATGAACATGTGGAACTAAACTCTTATTAGTTAGTGGTGAATTTGAAGCCATGGACATATGTTAATATGAATTGATTCCTTTTAGTTATTGTTTCGTAAAACATGAATGCGATTTACTTATCTATTTGATTGATAACTTATTCTTGTGTGTTGATTAAGGAGGCCTACTTAGTTTGCATGCTTGAATCTAATGCTAAATTATAAGGGACTTTCACCTAATCGTTAGAAACTTATAATTACAAGTAGTGGAGATTGTTAGTCACAATCGTGTTAAGTAGATTCTTGGCAAAAGTATCATGCAGTTCATAGTTATAATTGCCTTGTCAATGCTTATGATTTCCATGGAGTTTAATGATCTTTGAATGTATCTCTATCATGCAGTTCATATAGGGAACTTGAGAAGAATAATTTGGATTGTTGCATGCATTCATCCAATTCAATGAATTTAGGGAAATCTGAGAGTTAATTTGTGCATTCACGATTAATTTGGGGCATTGTCGTTCATGGTTTAAAGAAACAATACTGGAAATCGATTTATGTTGCATATGTTCATGTGTGGAGAAGGATCCTCTAACTAGCTTTTCACCCTTGAATTCATCTCAATTTCGTTTTAGTTTACTTTGATTTGCAATTTGTTTAGTTTTAATTCAATTTCGTCAGAAATCAAACCCCATTTTCTGTTTTATGTTATTAGGTCAGAATCTGTCCTAATTAGGTTCTTTAGAGTGTTTTGAGTCAATATAGGTTAGAATCTGTCCATAAACATTGTTTGGGTCTTAGTTTAGTCTTAAATTCGTCCAATTTCATCTCTAGAATCTGTTTTGAGTCTAATTGTGAGTATTGTGCTGTTTTGAGTCTTTTAAGTGTTTTCTGAGTTAGTTAAGTTACAATCTGTTTTCTTTTAATGTTTTGAGTCAAAGTAAGTTTTAATTTCGTCCAAATCATTTGTTAGGTTTAGAATTGAGTCAATTTCACTTAGTTTTGCAGATTTGAGTGTCTTAGGTCAGTTTAGAGTCTATAGAGTCTATTCTTGTGTTTTTAAGTCTAGTTTAGTGTTTTAGAGTTTAATTTCAGTAGATTAGCAGCCCTAGTTAATCCCCGGTTTAGAACGATCCCTACTTACATCTTTGCTACAATTGTCATCAATAGGGTTTAATTTGTGTGTCAAGTAATTTTCACATTAATTTGTCATCTTCGAATTCGGCTATACCACACCAGGGACTCACCTCTTTCTTTCTCTCGACTAACCTCTCTGATCTCTCTCTCGACTTCTCATCCCTTGCTGAAAAAGAAAATGTAGGAATGGCAATAACTCAACTGATAGCATCATCGATCTCGATCAAGAGTTTGGCTTCGTTTGAAGGGCTCAGACCTTCAAGCCTTAAGTTCGGTCGCTAGCATGCAATAGTTATAGCTGACAGCAACATATGATGCCTGATATTGATTAATGATAATGCTATTAAACACAATTCGTAAGTAATTTTTGGTTTTTATTACTTTCTGGCTCGCAAATGTAGCAATAGCGCTGTTAAACATAAATATTGGAGGACTTAGAACTGTTTATATAGTAAGCACACACACACACACACACACACACACACACACACACACACACACACACATATATATATATATATATATATATATATATATATATATCTATTTTGTGCAAAGGAAATGAAAGTAGCTTTGTTTAGCTTTGGGTGGAATGGCTTCAATTTGTTTTCAATTTGGGTATTTGACTTCTAGGGTTTTGGATTTTAGGGTTTTCAATTTTGTGAACTTTAGGGGCCTTCAT